TTCTAAAGATAATGTTTTAGAAATATATTTGTCTTACCATACGATTGAATTCTGACATGAGTGCAATTTATGCAACCGATAACACGAATAAATTTAGCTGTTTCAAAAAATTCTCGTTGGCTTACACGAATTTCTTCTGGAGATATGGGAAGTTTTATAAATTCATCTCTTAACGCAGCAATAGCAGGAGATACTCGGTGAATTATATCGTGTGCACTTACTTCACTAATTGCACAAAAATCACCAATAGTTTTTAAAAAAGATCCAGTGGCATAAAATCTGGGAGCAACCATCAATTGGATTGCAGGTGGAATAGCATTGTTACTGTTAAAAATACATAAACATATACATTTTCAGTCTTTACTATATATATTTTTATATGTTAACTGTACATACCGATCGGTATTATGTTGTATTTCAGCTTGAATTCTTTCTAATAACATCATGAAATTGTGTCTGGATATTACAAATCTTTTTTTGAAGTCAACTGTATCAAAAATATTTAAGTAATTAATACGTGGTCTGATCGAACGTGGTCTTCGTCGATTTTCTTGAAGATTTTCATCTTCGTCAATTAATTCGTCATCTTGAAATAAGATATTAATAATTCTATCCATTTTAATTATTACACGATTTTTATTTCTTTTTATTATTAGATATTATAGATTCTCGTCCGATAGAACTACACAAAAGAGGTTATAGAAAAGAACAAGAAATTTCCCTCTCTGTTCCTAGTACGAAATGTTTCATTTGTCAGTGTTGGCAACACTTTAATCAACGATTAAATTAATCGAAGTTTGGTCGAAGTGGCCCTTAGTATTGTTGGTGGGACTTCCGTCACGGGAGTTCCGTTAAGGTGTCTTTACATAGGAACGTCAAGCGTCGAGCGTCAGAGCATGTGCATTGATATATTAAATAATTTTACTGATTGTGAGATGCATTGGATTAAATACATGCAATGTACACTGCTGATAGAGGAATCTTGTAGATTACATTGGTTGCGTTCAGCAGACTCAACTGTTGCGGAGCGGATCCGTGATCGCTGCTATTGGATGATCTAAAAGAATACACCAATAGCAGCGAGCGCTCACGGATCCGCTCCACAACAGTTGAGTCTGCTGAACGTAACCATTGTATAATGTAAACAAATATAAATTTCAAATATTTAGGGATCATATATCATTATCATATATCATATATATATAACTACACTCTTGTATAATGTATAGGGCGTAAGAAAATGGACTAATCAAAGTCCTTCATTTCCTTTCTTTCCTTAAAAAAAAACTCTGAATAGTTGATTTTCTTATGCCTTATGCATTATGCGTTATGCAAGAGTCTGTGCTCCCCGCTTTAGTCACATATTTAAAAATAGTATTTGTTTCGTGATTCAGGGAGATAAAGACTAATCACTCACTGTGGTTTCGTTTATTAATATGGTTGAATAGACATGTATTAATTTTACATCACGCACGCATCACATTGTCTTCAATTTTTGTTTCGTTCGCATATTGAAGTAGCGATTTCGCCTGGGGGAATTCGAATCCCTGAATCGCCCTTCAGACAACGCCTGGGGGTATTATCGAGTTACCCTGAGTCCAATTAGTGAATCGTGGCCGGATTTTCACTATAACGCCTCAACACGCAGGAAGTTTCCTTGACTCGCGATCACGCACGCAACACTTTCTCTCGAAAATTATACACGCGGACTTCCGAATTCACGAGCGATCCGCCTCCGTACTCGGTTCCCGATGGAATGGAATTTCTCCACGCCGCAACGACCCCCCACGGACCCTCGATCTCTCTTCTGATTGGGTTTCCGAAAAACCTGGAGACTACGCGAAGCGGCGGCGGCGTTTCGGACAATCACAAG